TCTCAAAAACGCTCCTGAAACTAGACCGCCGCTGCTGCTGAAGATGCTCAAGTCGCTCGATGAATTGTTGATCACCGCGCTTTCGCTCGCTCTCAACGACAGCTCGGCTTTTGATATTGTCGATGACGACCACTTAAAGTCAACATCGATGGCTCTCATCAAGTTGAGCTGCATGCTTCATGCGTCAGCCATGCATGACGATGAGATTCGAATCGGGATGACCCGTGCGCCACCAAGCAGCCCTTCGTTTCAACCGTTCCTTAACAAGCTGCGGGAGATTCAGGTGCGTGTCTGGTGTCTCCAGTACACGGTGATTAAGGTCGGCGTGAACCAAAACCGCGCGTTGTTCCCGAACCCAGAGATGGAGTTGGCAGACTTCCTGTCAGCCATTCATCAGGTTGTCGGATTGAGAAAATGCTGCAAAGCCTCGAACAAGATCTTCTTGAAGATGATGCGTGTAGAACTACTGAAGTTCAAGGAGGTTGAGAATTGGGAAGACTACCTCGGTCAAGTATTGTATGACCTTCATGGTCTTAAGCTTGGTGTGGGTGCCGGGGAAGTCCAAGACCACGGCTGTCCGCCCGAGAAACTCGAGAAACGCAATGCCATGCAGTTGGTCGACAAGATCACGGTTCTGGCAAGGAGGATGCCCAGAAGGGACCTGCTCAAGTCGGACCTCAAAACGACCATCGAGCACATGCAAGGCGCTATCGGGCAAACCAAGTCGACTCCTCAGATGATCCACAACCTCAGGAACTTCACCGAATATCTCAAGCGACCGATTCATCCTCTCAGGCTCTACCAGGCCCTCACTGGCGGTGTTCAGTTGGATGTTGTCGCCGTCAACACCCCGGAGAGCGCCCTGGCAAAGCACGGGTGGTTCTTCTTGTTGGGCATGATCGCATTGACAAGGTTCAAGCAGGTTGATTTGAGCAAACGACAGACGCCTGGGGCCACTGACGACTTACGACTTGCGGCAACATTCTTGCGGCTGCAGCTTCAGTTCACCCCAGACAAGTGGGACGCCTGGTTCCGTCTTGCTGAGTGCTTCGACTACGAGCTCGACGAAGCAGTCTTATGGTCAGCCGACAAGATGAATAAGGAGCGCGGGGAACTGCTCAAGTTTCAACGAAACTCGATCCACTGCTATACCCTTGCACTGTCCAATTCTTGGGAAGTAGACATTGATGACGAGGACGAGGACCCGCTATACGAGCTTTACCACAACTTCGCCATGCGCTTGTATGCATCCAGTCGTGAGCCCCTTGCCATGGAGCCTTTTCAACATGCAGACCTCGAGAGATTCTTCATCGAGCCTACTGGCGCTGGAACCTTTCAGAAGGTGCTTCACGACCAGATGCAAGACTACAAGGTTTGGAAATATGCGGCTGGCTTGTTCAAGCGCGCCATGAGACGCAAGCCGCAGGATTGGAGGTGAGCATATGCTTTTTAGCCTGTCGACAATCACTAATCCGGCATAGGAATCCATACATGCTCACTAAATGCCTTTGGAAGATGTACCAGAAACCTACTGATGAACTGAGCCAGAAGGACCGTGAGACCCGCCCATCGGTCGGGTACTTGGTGTCAGCCCTCGAGCATGCAGTCGAGGTCGTTTCAGCAGTACCCAAATCGCGACACAGCGACCCCATTCTAGAACCGCATTACAAAATCGTGTCAATCATTTACAAGCTTGTTGTCCGTGGCGATCTAAAGCCGCAGGAAGGAGCAGATATTCTGTCGAGACAACCATTCGGCATGGAGCTAGGCGACGACATCACCCTCGATGACAATGAGGACTGGGAGGAATATGTCATCAGAAACCTACACCATCTTCGGGATAAAGACAAGTCTAACTGGCAGCACCGCATTATCATGCGTCACGCTCGACTCCTTTTCGACGAAGATGGGGAGTCGCCCGAGCTTGTTCAGGCCAAAGCCGCCTTCAACGTTCTCAGAGAATCCATGTTCACGAAAACCATGGTTATGAATGTCTGGAAATGCGACGCCGAACGCCCCGGGCGGCATCACGTCTACACGTCGCAGTACATCCGGTTTATGGTGAAAATTCTGGTCGTCATGAACGACAGGGTCAACTTGGAGATGGTTCTCAGACGTCTACGCAAGAAGGGTGCCGACTTTTACCATTTCAGCGACTTGTGGCAGATGTGCTCCATGGCTTATCTTAGGCTGCTGCGGCAGGGGTTTCAAGTGCCTCCAACGTTGGATGACCCATTCAAGTCGACGTCACTGGAAGAGCTGGAAATCATGGCAGATCGCATTACCGAGTGGGCTGGAGGTCCGTTGACGGACATCCCCGCGTTCAACTGCCTCAAGGAGACAATCGAGTTGAAGAAGCTCAACGGAGGCCTTATGAAAGCCGGAGCCATTGACGACCTCATCAACGATTGCTACGCCCTCATCTACCAGGAGATTGGTCCTACGCTGCCAGGTCCAGAACCGCATGAAGTTCTTGAGGCACGGGCCAGAGCCCGTGCCAGAGAAGAGGCTAATGGTGGACTTGAATTGAAGCCAACGAGCTCGCTGGGTAATCTTCTTAACCCATCTGCTGCGCAAGACTCGGGGCCGAACGGTGAAGGTGATAAGACAGCGGCACCCGAGGCAGCCCCAAGGCGTAGGACAGGCGTTCGCAGACCTGATATCATCCGGAAAGCCGAGCAAGCTTTTGCTCGGTTTAGTGAGGCACCAAAGTCATCGGTCGCCCCATCCAAATCCCGCGTCGGATCGGTCTCGAGCGGCAGGAACGGGACGCACACTCCTGCCGGAGATGTTGGAGAAGGCAGTGATGCTGAGGACCAACCGGGTGAAGAGGGCGAGGACACAGAGATGAAAGACGACACAATGATGGAAGGCGAACAGGGCGAAGAGGGCCCTGCGCAAGCCACAGCAGGCTCCAGTCCTCGGGGCAGTATCCACGACTCAGCTGATGACGAAAGTGAGCTTAGCGACGTTCCTGATGACTGGGATGAGCAGCCACCTCCTTCACTCATGTTTCCGAACCTGAGGAAGAGCGTGGACTCTGTCCGCGACGTGGTGAATAATGAATCTAGTGATAGCGGTGAGGAGGAGGAAGATGAGGGTGGCGAAGAAGAAGGAGAAGAGGAAGAGGAAGAGGGCAGTGAAGTAGAAGTAGAAGAAGGTGAAGAAGATGAAGGTGTTGAAGAAGATGAAGAAGAACAAGAACAAGAAGAACAAGAAGAGGCCGAGGCCGAGGAGGGGGAGGGTAACGAAGAAGAAGAAGAAGAAGAAGAAGAAGCAGAAGAGGGAGGTGACGTAGAAGAGGATGAAGAAGAGGAAGAAGGCGAAGGCGAAGAGGCTGAGGAGGTCGAAGAAGATGAAGAGGATCAAGAGGGTGAAGAAGGTGAAGAAGAACAGGAAGATGACGAAGAACAAGAAGCCGACGAGGAACAGGAAGAAGATGTGGAGCAGGAAGAGGGCGACATGGCTGGCGAGGACGAGGACGAGTAGCACTCTCAGCCTCTCGAACACTAGAAAGACATGGGGGCACGGGAATTGAGCGCTTGTTGGAACTGGTTGTTCTCGGTAAAGGACAGCCGATACTTGCAGAGAGCGGTAGGCTACAGCCAAGTCCGTTAGGACTAAGCATTGTTTGTGTAGGAGTATAAGTCGTATGAGTCGTATGAGTAATCTGCAGTGTAACACACATACAACGTGGTTTTTTAGGCGTGGAGGGGAGAACCGAAGAGTCAGTGGTGTCATGGGCATTTCTTATATAAACGGCTTGTCTAGGGGTCGAATCAGTCAGTAGAAGAATCCATCCCATGTTTACATGCACTTTTAGTTGAACCACCGTTACCATCAAAGACCCCTCACCCTTGTTTGAGCGTTGCAAATATAGCCACGATGTGCATTATCCGGCAAGTAGCGAAGGAAGACTGCCGCCACACGACGGAGCAGTGGACGGAGATGTGCCAAGCGGCCAGGCAGCGCGGGTGGGCTTGTCGGGTGATAGTGAGCCTTGAGACGTGGTGGGAGGGCGGGTATTGCGATGCGTGTCTGGAGGATCTCTCGGCGCGGCTTTGTTATCCGAGATATGCTTGAGGACAACGGCGGACCGGCGTGGCGAAAGCACAGCTCAAGGATATGGCAAGTGAGAGAAGAGTCCAAGCCTGGGCTTGGAGTGAGTGGCAGCGAATGTCGACTTCCCGGGTAAATGAGGATTGAAACAAATCGCAATCATATCCAGTCGAACGCTTGGCAAGCTTTTTCCATGATTGTCCCAGTTCACCAACCCACAATGGCATGTCCCTCCTGGTGATATGTGGTATTTGTACTAGAGTGATGTTAAGTCACAGATGCCTCCTCTCGGAACCTGACAACCTTTGATAACAGAGGGCCTTGTCAACAGCAGGCACAGGCCCAGTTCATCTGTATTCTACATCTAATTCCAAAAGCCCTGGCCACAAAGAATCTGACCACGAAGAAGAAGAAGAAGTAGAAGAAGCTCTACCTGCAATGTCCACGTCCAATCCTCGATGAGCCTGCCTGGTGTAAAGTGGAGACGGTCATGCTACGGGGGTGCGCCGGCCGAAGAAAGAACTACAACCACCCCCCCCAAGCCCTGGACCGAGCGGCGCCAGGGCCAGGCATTACGCCTTCCCAGTGCCGCCTAGGTGCCCGCCAGCCGGCAACTTCCGCCCCCGTCGACAACCTTCACACCCGCCGCAGCCAGCACCACCTTCACCTTCGTACGCACCCCAGTAGCTTTCCTACCATCACCACCGATCCAACACCCATCGCGATCCCACAATCCCAAGACTCCCCAACGCGATTCGCCTCCCGCGATCCGAGCTCTGTCTCTCTATCTCTCTCTCGCCTCTCGCCCCTTTTCGAAATTCGCGGCCTTTCACCGATCCGTCATCTTCTTCAACAACCATACACCGGCGCGAGCACATCCTGCAGTAAGAAGCAGGTAAACGCCATCCTTCCAAAACCTTCCAACACGACACACATACACAATGGCCTCATCGGACGCAAAACCAGTGCAGGACAAGACCGCCGATCCCAAGGTCGACGAGGCGACGGCGCAGCAGCAGGCCGCCTCCAAGAAGCCCGCGCTCGGCGAGGACGACGAGTTCGAGGACTTCCCCGTCGACGGTACGTTTCCCCCCTTCCCTTCCCCGTTGTCTCACCCTACCTCTCCCGTCCTTCTCTCCGCGCTCTGTTCTTGGGCACAGAGACACGGATGATGCCTCCATCGAGAACCATCGTCACAGAGAGCTGGGAGGTGTTGGCGTCCTCGGCACGGGAGGGGATCACCGGCGGACAGATTTGGACCCCTGGGAACCCGAGCTGACCTGACCATCACGACAGACTGGCCTCAGGAGGAGACCGAGGCGGCCGCCAGCGGAAGCGGCTCGACGCAGCACCTGTGGGAGGAGAGCTGGGACGACGACGACACGAGCGACGACTTCTCGGCGCAGTTGAAGTATGACAACCCCACCCCAACCCCCCCGGGACCCTCAGATGCTAACGTTTGCCCAGGGAGGAGCTGAAGAAGGTCGAGGCGTCCAAGCGGCGATGATTGCGCACACCTTACGAGATGTATTTTATTTGGAGGGAGGGGAAGCTGGAATGACGCATTGAGAAGGGGTGGAACCACGGGCATAGACTTACCCCCGTATGAGCTCTAGACGAATTGGCAGCATACCAGGAATGGAATGAAATCACACAAAAAGGACAACAGACTTTTTTTTTCTCCTTTTTTTTCAGTTTCGGGACGAGACAGACATGTCTAGTCTTTTTACTGTTTATTTGATGTCGTGACTTTTTACGTTTACTTAGGACATGACACGGGGGGCATTACGTTCATCATGACCAAAAACTCCTCTTTTCTCCTGGGGGTCCTACAAACTGGCCTTGCCAGCCCGACCTTACCCATCATCCATCAGACTGTCCGAGTTCATAGAGCGGGGCGCATCCTCGCACGCGGACGAGGATCGATTTATTTACTTACTCGACAGGGCAGTGACACCGGGCAGTTCCTTGCCCTCGAGCAGCTCCAAGCTGGCACCACCACCGGTGGAGACGTGGCTGAGCTTGCTCTCGACGCCGTACTTGGCGGCGACGGTGGCCGTGTCACCACCGCCGATGATGACGATCTTGCCGCTCTCGGCAGCAGCGACGGCGGCGTCGAGCGTCGCCTTGGTGCCGTTGGCAAACTTGTCAAACTCGAAGACACCAGCGGGGCCGTTCCAGAGGATGGTCTTGGCCTCGTCGATGGCCTGCTTGTAGAGCTCGACGGACTTGGGGCCGCAATCGAGACCCATCCAGCCGTCGGGGATACCGGTCTCGTCGGTGGCGGAGCCAACGTTGGCGTCCTTGTCGAACTTGTCGGCCGTGACGTAGTCGACGGGCAGGACAAGCTTGACGTTGTTGGCCTTGGCCTTCTCGACGAGCTTGCCGACCGTCTTGGCGCCGGCCTCGTCAAAGAGGGAGTTGCCGATGCTGACGTTCTCGAGCGTCTTCTTGAAGGTGAAGGCCATGCCACCGCAGACGATGAGGGTGTTGACCTTGTCCAGCAGGTTGTCGATGAGCTGGATCTTGTCCGAGACCTTGGCGCCACCGAGAATGGCGAGGAAGGGGCGCTGGGGGCTCTCGAGGGCCTTGGCGAAGTACTCGAGCTCCTTCTTCATGAGAAAGCCGGAAGCCTTCTGGGGCAGGTCAATGCCGACCATGGAGGAGTGGGCGCGGTGGGCAGTGCCGAAGGCATCGTCTGGCCGTCGTCAGTAACCGTGTCTCGGAACAAGCCGGCACACTTGCGGAGGAAGACTCACTGATGAAGACATCGCCGAGGGCGGTGAGGCCCTTGCGGAACTCCTCGACCTTGGCCTTGTCGGCCTTGGTCTTGTTGCCGTCCTTGTCCTTGGCGGAACCCTCCTCCTCGATGTGGAAGCGCAGGTTCTCGAGCAGGATGACCTGGCCGTTATCGGCCTTGTTGACGAGGTCCTCAACGTCCTTTCCGACGCAGTTCTTGGCGAACTGGACGCTCTTGCCGCCGAGCAGCTTCTCGAGCTCGGGCACGACCGGCTCAAGGCTGTACTTGGGGTTCACCTCGCCATTGGGACGGCCGAGGTGGGACATCAGGACGACAGCCTTGGCGCCATTGTCGATGGCGTACTTGATGGTGGGCACGGCGCCGGCAATGCGCTGGTTGTTGGTGATCTTCTTGTTGGCATCGAGAGGGACGTTGAAGTCGACCTGCGGCGCGGTTAGTGGGGGGAGATGGCCTAGCAGGGACAAACGTAGCGGTATGGCCACGCGGTGTATTCCAATGCCGGGCGTGGCATAGCAGAGAGTTCCGAGGTGAAGAGCCGCGGCTCGTCCCGTATCGCCAGAATGCGGAACGGCTGTGAGCTCTCACCCGGGATCTGGCGGGGGTGGCATGGTGGGGTAACTGCCGACTGCCAACTAACTGCGCAGCACCAGCAACACGGGGTCACAGCAGGGTAGAATGACTTACGCGGATGAGGACGCGCTTGCCCTTCAGGTCAACGTCGGTGATGGAGAGCTTGTTCGCGAGAGACATGGTTGCAATTGGAAGGGTATTTGGTGCTGTAGGGGGTGGCGGACAGAGGTGTAGTTGAGGGAGGAAGAGAAGAGAAAAGAAGTTGAGAGGAGATGATGGACGGATTGAGGTATATTTAGGAGGGGAGCTGCTGGGATGGGATGGGATGGGATGGGACAGGTCAGGACAGGAAACACACACTAAAACCACGTAGCAATCAGTCACCTCGAGTGGTTCAACACACGTTGGGGGAGGCTTTGCCCATGGTGGGGTGGGCTGCTAATGCCTACCCGCCAGGTGCATCGAGGGGCATTTCTCAGTGGTTTTTTTCATGACCTTTTTTTTTTTTTTTTTTTTTTTTTTTTTTTTTGGCGGGGTTGAAGTCGGTCCCTCTTGGCTTAAAGTTAGTGTCTTAGTGGGATGATGCAGCTGCTGTTGTCCTTAGCTGGCCGGGGCCTTCTACCTCCTTCCCCTGCCGGGGGGTCGAAGGGGGTCACGCCCGCAAGTGGGGAGCTCGAGCCCAGCACCGCAGCGACAATGCGCAGGAGCTGTTGTGCCCCGCCGTGGTGTGTGACGTGGTGGTAGTCTGATACCTCACAGAAACTGCGCTGCTCCCTCAACACCCCGGTCGTGGCCGCCAGTCCACCCGGCATCAACGGGACAGCTTCAAAAGTCGCCAGACAAGCCAGCAGCGTCTTGGCAGCTGCGTTTCCCGTTTCGTCACTATAATTGGATTGCCAACCTCCTTTTAGACCGCCATCCCATGCGCCCGTGCCAGCACGCCAGCAAGTCCGGACTACAAACCCATCAGGGTAGGCCGGGGTGTCGTCAGGAACAGTCTCTTTCAAAATGACCGAGAAATACGCCGCCCGTCTTCCAACGGAATCTGGCACGTCACAGCATCCTCGGACCACTCGTTTCCCCCTGGGCACGGTAGGCAAAAGGGACAGAGTTAATAACTAATGCTTTCCCCCTCCAAATCACTGCAGTTTATTGCTGGTTTGCTACAAAGAAAATACCAAGGGCCGCCCATATCGATTTTCGGGAACCCCTCAAGACACCAAACGCCTGTAACCCCTTACCAAAAGCACACGATGCTTTGTATAGCGATTGAATGAGACGGAAGAGGAACTCGTGATGATAGTCCTCTCGGCGTCGAACCAGTGTATAACGCCTCTAGAAATGCCTGCAACGATGCACGACCTGGCCCAAGCCCATGCCGCAGACCACAATATATCAAGGAAATCGAGCACGGGTGTATGCTTTGTGCGAGATGAATTTAGCTGAGGCGAATGTGGGCGTCCTCGCGGGCGGGACGGGTGTCAACCTCCTCCGAGGCGTTGGCCAACGAGAGGTAGGCCGTCCAGGCGATACCGACCGTGGAGACGAATGGCTAGGAAACATGTTAGTAAAACTCTCGAGGGTTTTGGTGATTGTTTGTTTGCAGCGGGCACCGTTCCGGGGCAACTCACCAGCTGGAACTGGACGGGTATCAAGCGGAAGTTGATGACCTGCACGGCGGGCCAGACAATGAAATTGGCCTTGAGCGTGGGGACATACATGTCGCGCAGCTTGTTCATCACAGCGCGACGGCCGCCACCCTCGGCTACGGTCATGACGGAAAAGAAGCACAGCAGGCCAAAGGGCGCGAAGATGAGCTGGTCGAAGGCGACGCGCTTCATGGCGGGCACGAAGGCGCTCGTTTTGGTGATGGGGAAGGCGCTCGACAAGAACTTGAACCAGCGGAACTGCAGAGGCGCCATGGCGAAACCGTAGGCCATGAAACGGGTGAGGCGCTCAAAGTCAAAGGGCGGGGGCAGGTGCCTGGCGTCCGGGATGAGGTCCTTCTCGTAGAAGGGGTTCTTGCGGTCGAGGTCGTGGATCTCGATGGCGACGCCGTCGTCCTTATTGAGGCCGCCGGGCTTACGGACAGCCTTGAGACGGAGGGCGGTGATGGTCTGGGCCGTCGTGTCGGCGATGCCTCCGAGGATGGCGTTGGTCACCATCATGGTGAGGACTGTTGGGGAGTCGACGTTAGCATAGGGGGGCATCATGGATGGACAAGTATGGATTGGGTGGAGAGCCGAGGCAACGTACGTGGTCGTTCATCGTAGTATTGGTTGAACTTGGAGACCAACCTGGCGACGAGCGCCATTTCGATAAAGGCGACGACTGCGTGGAGTAGTGGCTATAGCGGACGTAAGGAAAGTCAGCGCAAGTCGAAATGGTGATTTATGGCGTCAAGCGACGATGAAGATGATGCAGACAGAGCAGAGATGAATACAGTACAAGATACAAGAGAGTGAGACCGAGGCAGAGAGAGACGAGTGATTCAGATGGAGATGTGCAAGGAATGCGTCAAGTCAAGTCTTGGAGGACACAAGAGACAGTGCTACGGGAGGGGGCTGGCATACAAGACGTCCGTAAAGATATTTGCTGTTGACAGCTCGGACGATGCGACGACGAGAGAGCTCCCACGACATGATGGGTCAACTAGGAGGAGAAAGGCCCGGGGCGGGGATTTTTTTCCTTTTTTAGCTGGGGGAGGGATATGCGATGGAGCGACCGGCGGTGGTTCGTTTCGACGTCCTTGGGATCAAGGGAACGAGTGGCCGCGCTATCGACTCGTCTGTCTCCTCGAAATGAGATGACGGGCAAACAAACAGGAGCGAAGTGGGTGGAAACCTGGGCGAGGGTTTGGCAAAGGGGGCCGCTTGATGGAACGGGCGGGCTCTTTTGGTGCTTCTGCAGGCTTCGAAGGCTGGGTACGATGACGACACCGTGGACGGTCGGTCCTTCAGTAGCGCAAAATAATGATTGGTCCAAGCCAGAGGGTTGTTCCCACTGGGCGGCGAAGGAGGAGGAGCTGGGACACGATACGACAAGGCGAAGAGAAAGTGAGCAAGCAAGCAAGAAGATCGCCCAAGCAAACCTGTGCAGAGATGAGATAACGTAGGAGTGATGTGTCTCTTCAGAAAGGGGGGGAGAAAGGTGGGAAGAGACGGATTCTAAAAAGAAATGGAGCAGCAGATGGAAAACCTGTGACCATCCAAGTGCCAATCTGTCAATGCCGAGAGACGGTAGAGAACTGAACCTGGGGCCTGCGCGTAGAAACTCAAAAAGAAAAAGATAAAAAAAAAAAAAAAAGACAATGGAAAATACCTTGGGTAGTGTACGGATTCCAAAGTCCCGGTCCCCTACCTCGTCTTCTTGGTGTGGATGGGTGGTGGGAGGGTGACAATTATCGGGCGAGTCGATGGATGCGGAGAGACGACGCGGATGACCGCACTGTTTCACTGTGTCCCACATATAGGCAGCCAACCAACACACTCACACACACACCTCCCGGCCGTGATTCCTCCTGCTAGGTACTACCTACCCTTAGGTGCTTACTTACCTACCTAGCTGCACAAGTATGAGGTAAGGCGTGTACGGACGGCCGTATCTAAACCCGATCTGCCTTATCTTTTTCCATCTCTGCCACTTTTTGATGCCCGCCGAATTCCCGATTGACAGATGACTTACCCGAATCGTTGAAGAGCTCTCCCTCCTCCTTCACCCTTCTCCCCTCTTCCCCTCCGGAGGCTCCGACGGCTCCGACCGTGCCGTAGCCGCCCACCAGAATGCAGAATACTGCACAGTGCATTCAATCCGCCCTCCGCCCTCTCGGCGATGCTCGTCTTCGTCACCTACAACAACTTGCCCCATCTAGGTACGTCCGGTACTATTCTGTCGTCGAGGTTTCGTACATTGGACGCCAAAAAAGCATACACTGCAATTATTTCCTGCGTAGTGACAGACCCCTTGATGGCAGTTTTCGTCCTTTTTGCCCGTAGGGAAACCGACCGACGGCGCCATTTGGCCCCGTCCCTGCGCCGGAACTCCAAACACTTCTCCTGCCCTTCCGATCAATGCTCCCGTTTCATACACGCGTACAATTTCGTGCCGTGACTGCTGTCCTATCCATGTCCCGCCGCATGGCGATGACGTATAGGACCTGAACCTTTTTCTCGCCTGTCGACCGCCTTGGGATGGAACTAGCTGCCATAGCCTGTGGTGATGAACCCATCCCCCGCCCTTTCTCTCTCTCTCGCGCGCGCGCGCGCGGGGGGGCCTCGACGCTTCTCAAGCGAGTCTGATCCCCTCTGATCCGTTGCCCCCCGGAACGGAAACAGAGTTACGGAACGGCGGTGATTTGACCTTCCCAAAGCCCGAGCATGTCCAACATAGGGGTCCTCGAGGCAGGATGAACCCTGGCTATACGTCTCAATATGTAGTGGTTGTACTAAAGGGTGGCAGGGCCTAAAAAGCTGACATAATCAGGATACCCACACATCTTCTTTGCATTGCCACCTAGCCCAATGCTACACTCTTTAATCATGATGTAACAGTCCTACTAGTATTCTCCTTAATCCGTATAAAATTTAGAGCTTAAAGATAGTAAAATGAAGTGTCATAAGGAAAGGGATAGTGATAGCAGTAGCAAGGGTGACGATGATAGCAATAGGAGGGGAAAGTCACTAACAGCTAAGCTGGCAGAAGTACTGTAGTAGGGGTATGAACGTTGGTTACCTAATAGGGGTGTTTTTTACTTCGGCTTGGTACCATCGTACGTAGCTTGTCTTCTGGTTTATTCCGTTCTAATGCCCTTGTGGCCAACCGCTACCTCGACCAAGGTTTTGAAAAAGACTCATCTATCAAACTCACAACCGAGTCGAAGCACACTGTTAATGCCGTTGGTCGGCTTTATGCCGCCTCTCGACACCTTCCCTTCGCATCGCTCCTCTGGGCGCAGCTTGGTTTGAGACGTCAGTCGAACCATAGGGCTCACATCCCTCAGCCACGGCTCATTCCGTCAGTCATCAGAGATGTTCAAGCGTGGTGTTGTCGCAATGTTTGCCTGGGAGACGGAGACATGCTTAAAGGATCTTGGTGGCTGCCTCGGTTCAACCTCGTGTCTCACTGAGTAAGAGCTTCCCCAGTTCCCGTCTTTGTTTTGCCTCTATCCCTGGGACAGTTTCCGGGGTGAGGCAGTATAGATTTCAGGTCTCAACCACCTACGACCCTTGACCCTTTGTGATCGGCGTAAACTATTGATAGCGACAAGCCCACCTCACCAGCGCTCGTGCAATTACTTGGGTCCAGTCCATATGCAACATGAGCTGGGGCCCGGAAAAGATATATTTAGTATACGGCCTCGGAAAAGAGACTTGTAGTCCCAATGTTGACCTCAGTGCCATTGACTCTCCAGCTACCTTGCCTCCTTCCTCCAGAAAGATAACTGCTGCATAGCTCGCCGGATACGAGAAGTTATCCGACTGAGTCGTTGTGCCGCACAGTCGGTCATCTCGGGTAATGTTGAACATGATTAACTTTAGACATGAAAAGTAACATGGTCACGCCAGCTCTATGGACCGTATGAGGCGTACCGTACGTAGTGATGAACACTGCTGTTGCAGGCCCCAAAGTTACGGCCCCTGGGGTTCCTTCTGTGTAGAAACACCATCTAACTCGAGCCAAAACTCTAACATGACTAAGAAATGAGGACAATGAAGTCGGGCGTTGAACGTAGGGCACTTACAGCGGTGCTAAACGCCCGCTGGGTTCTGCTGCCGTACAGTTGTTCAAGGGCGCAGATGGCTTTGAGAATTGCCGTGGCTATGTACAAGATATCTGGAATGCCTTTATATTATTTATTTAACATATATTAACTTCAATTCCATTAGTTACAAGGGAAAATAGATGGCCCAGTCTCCCTGACTGCCGAGACACGGATCCTTCTCGATGTGTAAACAAAGGTGGCCAGGTTTGCCGGTTACCAACATAGCGAGAAGCAGTCACATTAAGCAACGAAACAATAGCGAGAAAGGGGATCCAGCATGACAGGCGAATATGACGTGATTGGTGGCTTCAATTCCATTATGCTGTTGATTTTTTCTATCCAATTCAAAGTTGTCGTGTCCTCTCTCGTCAACAACCCTCATAAGCTGTTCATGGTTCTCAAAGACCGTGGCCCTGCTCATGTATAATTTGGGTGACGTCGCTTCAACCGCTTCCGGCGAGGAAGACAATTTTATATATTTCCAACCACTCTTTCATGGTTCCTCTCGGACGTTCCTCAGGGATCTACCAACGTACTTAATCCAGGAATACATTCACAGATTCGCGCGAGTACCCCACCGTCCTCGGCCAGCCGCTGTAATCCGCCTCGAACAGGATGGCGTCATTGCAGGCGCTGCCCAACGACGTGTTTTCGAGCCACGCGGGCTCCCAGTACCAGACCCCGCGTCCCAGCCCCCTCGGGGCCTCCCTGACGATGCGGAGGACCTGGGCCATCCACTCGACCTGGCCCGCGACGCTGTACGGTATGCCCGGCTCAGACGACTCGGGAATCGGATTCCAGCGTCCGTCGCACACGGCCGGGTAGTCCGTTTCGACGACCTGCATGGGCTTGCCGTACTTGTCCGCCATGGCGCGCAGGACAGCACGGAGGTTCTCAAACGTCGCCTCGGTGCCGTAAAACGGGTAGAAGCTGAGCCCGAAGCTGTCCCACGCCGACGGGGGCACGCCGTTCTCGACGAGCGCGCCGTACCACCTCTCCTGCAGCGTCAGGTTCCAACCGTTGTCGAGGTGGAGCATAACCTGGGGCTTGGGCACGCCGGCGCAGGTGGCGTCAGAGACACCCGCCCGCGCCGCTTTGTACAGCGTCGCGAGGTTGGAGAAGTTCGCCACCGTGGCTGGCCACGGCTGCACGTCGACTGAGACGCGGCCCAGAGGCCAGAGCATGCCGTGGCGGATCTCATTGCCGAGCGACACAATATCCAGCGTCACGCCAGCGTCCTTGAACGCGACGAGCGTCTCGCGGACGTACTCGCGCAGCTTGCCCGCTAGCGGCTCCAGCTCCGTCGGCCAGGCAGAGGGCGCCGGCTGCTTCTGCGGGTCCGCCCAGCTGTCGGCGAAGTGGAGGTCGAGGAAGATGTGCTGACCCTTGGTCTGGAACCGTTTGGCGAGGCTGATGGTGTAGTTGAGGCCGTAGATGCCGTCGGGCGGGTCGACCCACAGGCGGAGGCGGACGGCGTTCATGCCGCCGTCAGCGAGGATGTCGTCGGCAGGCCGCTCCTGGTTGCCCCGTGCCGTATCGACGAAGACGTTCTGCGAATCCTCGAGCAACTTCAGGGAGCTCAGGTCGTGACCCTTGTAGAAGAAGGGCGTTCCGTCGCCGGGGCCAGAGCTGAGCTCCCGTTAGACCATGGATATGACCGAGTTTGGCTCAGTGACTTACATGGTGCTCTCCGTGACTGGGGCCGCCGCCGCCAGAGCCATGAGGCTAAGCAGGGAAACAAGTCGCCTTGCGATCATGATGAAGCGATGCCAATGCCGATGCCGCAAAGAAGATGGTCTGCAAAGCTTTCGACAAGACTGCTCTTATATGTATACCGAATCCCGAGTCGCCGGGCTAACAAGCAAAACCTGAGCCATCAGTTCGGCCGCCCGCCGAGCCAAGATGGAATAAATGCGAACTAGCTGTCATATGCCCTTGGCAATATTTAGCCTTTCTTCTCGGTCCAACGTGACGGCTAGACGGAATATTTCAGCGAGCAGAAACAGCATCAAAAATTGGTCACCCCCGAGCTGTGGGGACATATCGCGGGGTCACCGGGGGAGCGACCCCCGTTCCGGCCAGCCCGATGATTGGTGCGCCTGAATGAGCTGCCCTTGTCGTCTCCCGCAATTCCGGACAATGTACCCCCAGTGAGCTAATCGTTACCTGTTGTGTCAGCCTCCAAACGGTCTGAATTGCCTTGAGTCGCTGGCAGGGCTGACAAGCACGGATAAAGCTGCGAGAAAATAGTCATCGAGATAGGAGCCAGAACTCAATTTGTCAACGACTGGTATCCTATTTGGTTCGTACAAGATATACAGTAATGGCCACAACACCCAGGTTTGCTTGAGGCTAACCATCGGCTAGCACTCGGGTCCAGTCAAACTTCCTCCACTTCTTGTTGAACCCCTCGAACCGACGGTCGCCCTTGTTCCACCGTCCCTGTTTCTTGATCACGTCCGGACCGACGTCCAAGATGCCCCCGATGATCTCCCTTGCGAAGAGGTCACCCCTCGGCCAGCGGTCAGAGTTTTCAACAATGTGACCGAGGCCACCGTCGAGCGTGAACCACACGTGAAAGTAGGGCATCTCCTTCGCGATGCTCCGCCGGAATGCCATCCTGCCCATGCCATCCCGTGCCTTGGCGGCCGTGTCAATGATCTTTTGGTGCTGTGACCACTCGTCATCTGTGGTGAGGAAAGCCTCCTTGAAGTAGGCCGGAGCCGTGGCACCCTCTTCGTAGGGGATCGGCACGGCCATCATGGAGGCGTGGAGATGCCTTTGCGGCGCCGCGGCGTTTTCGTAAAATATGACTTCCTGTCCCTTCTCGTGGTACATCCTGGTGAGAGATTTCATGAAGTTCCGTATCTCTTCCCACTCGTCGTCGTCGCACTCCAGGAGGTTCTTGTGGTGCGCCGTGGGTACGATGACTGCGCCACCTTCACTGACCTCCGGGTCCGTGGGCAGTGTCAAAAAGACACGGGTGCCGAGGGAGATGACCGGTGCCAGAGGCGGTTGACCCTTATCCTCATGATGGCACAACGGGCAGTTGGACAGAATCCGTGACACCTTCTGGTAATCGTTGACGGCAACGTTCTTCAAGTTAGCCTCGGATTTGTGCACCCGCTTCGCAAGCTTGTCTGCGTTCTCGTCCATGTAATCGAGGTCGTTGTCAAACTTGCTATCCTTGGCAATCCGCTCAGCAAGCCGCATGCCCTCGCCGCCGGCTTGACCGCGTGTTCTGCGCTCCTCGCGAACCATGTCCTCGATTGACATGTCCTCGTTCGCTTCCACATTACCTCTCTCCCGGCCGCGCTTGTTTTCGATGGCTTTAACTTCCCCACGAGTTCCTGCCAGCATCCTGTTATCCATGACACCCAGAACGACCGATTGCGGACCGTTGGTGGCAAAGCTGGCCGCGGCTTGGTTGTATTCGGCTTCCAGCTTGGCGGCATCAGGTGCCTTGCGTAGCTTGGCCTTCATCATCTGCGCTCGCAGCCTGTTCAATGCGGTCTGGTCCATGGGGGTGTGCTGCATGGCATCGTCGGGAATGACGGTGCCCTGCTCAAAGCCTCCGGCACGCTCTCGTTCGGCCCGATCTCGTTCGGCAGACCTATCGGCACGGTGCTTTTCCAGCCGCTCACGATACAAGTCCCCGGTCGGTTTCTCCTTGCCCACGTACCCGTCGCCGTACACCTTGCGTCGCTCCAGTTCAATCTTCTCCTCCCGGGAGTCGTCGAATTCTTGCAAGTCGCCGTACCTCTCCAGAGCAACATCTTCGACTGATCGGCCGGACTCCTCTGCCATGGAATAAACGCCCTTGAGCTTGGTCATGCGCCACTGAGAGCCGTTGTCCCCAAACTTGTAACTGACGGTTCTCTCCGTCGGTGGGAGCTTTTCATCCAGAGTCGTAACGTTGCTCAGGTCCCCAAAGTCTCTGTTGATTTCCCTGTCGTGGATGACTCTGACCGGTTCCTCTTTGGGTGGCGGCTTGATCTCTTCCTTTTTGCGTTGAACGTAGTCGATGTCGAGGGCTGACGGGGCAGTCATCCAGCTATCGCGGACCAACGGTGCGTCTGCAGCCTTCGCTTCCGGTGGTGTAGCTTCCTCGTTGGGTATCGGCAAGTCCTCCTTGGGATCCGAAGTCTTTTCATGGCTTTCTCCGCGGGTTTCTTCGTCTCTATCCTTCTGTCTGTGTCGTGATCGTCGCTCCTCATCGTCCTTTGAATGGCGAGATCGCTTATGTCTGTGTCCATCCTCCTCGTCTCCATCGTGCCGTCGCGATCTATGATGGCGATGTCTTTCATGATCACGGTCTCGGTCGCGTCCCCGGTCGCGTTCCCGGTCGCGTTCCCGGTCGCGTTCCCGGTCACGGTCACGCTCTCTGTGACTTCCTCTCTGGCTATCCCGGTCTTCCCGTCTGTCGGATGACGTGTCGCGGTAGTGATGATGTCGTTGTTTCTTCCTCTGTCTGCGATCTTCTTTCTCGCGTTCAATGCGCTCCTTCTCTCCCTTCTCTGCGGCAAGGGCCTTTTCGAATTCGTCGAGGCCGTCCATGACTGCTTGAGCAAGCGGCGCTAGGCTTGCTGGTACTTGCTTGAGCGATAGCTTCAATGGTATGTTTTTTTTTTTACCAGGTCGCAGACAGCGAATTGGCCATGCAAGCTGGACGTCACTCGCCAGCACGGGCCATCTGGATTTTGGAACCGACCAGGGGGTTCTGATTAATGGTTACAGGGGATGTCTTGCCCACTCTAACGCCCCGCGCGGGGCACTCAGCTCTTCCGTCTCTTCCAGAACTTTTTTCCCTAGCGGCTGCAACAGCAACACCGTGAAAGCCGCATACATACTCACCCGACACCTCTACCAAAATGGCTTCAACTTCCGCAGCCGCGCCCGCTGAGAACCAGTCTACTCAGGAGAAGGCGTCCACTCAGATGCCGACCTCCATCGTCGTCGTCGGCATGGCCGGTAATATTAACCCTCCTGGTTTCGCACCGTATAGGCCAATCCAGCTGACCAATACAACTCCCAGGCTCCGGCAAAACAACCTTCATGCGACGCATCAACTCGTACCTGCATGGCAAGAATGATCCGCCATACGTAATCAACTTGGACCCGGCTGTGCTCAATGTTCCTTTCGAGAGCAACATCGACATTCGCGACTCGGTCAACTACGAGGAGGTCATGAAACAGTACAACTTGGGACCGAACGGCGGAATCTTGACGTCCTTGAACCTCTTTGCCACAAAGGTCGACCAGATTGTCAACCTGCTCGAGAAGCGCGCGGCTCCAGACCCAGAAAACCCCACCAAAAAGCCCATCAGGAATATTCTTGTCGACACTCGTAAGTCCTTGATGCGTATTTGCTCCTCAACAGTGGGCTAACAGCACCGTAGCTGGACAGATCGAGGTCTTCGTCTGGTCCGCCAGCGGTACCATCCTTCTCGAGTCGCTCGCCTCTTCATTCCCAACCGTTATCGCCTATGTCATCGATACACCAAGAACCACCTCCACAAGCACATTCATGAGCAACATGCTGTACGCCTGCAGTATCCTCTACAAGACCAAGCTCCCGATGATCCTGGTCTTCAACAAGACTGATGTGCAAGACGCGAGCTTTGCGAAGGAGTGGATGACAGACTTCGAGGCTTTCCAGGCCGCTCTCCAGCGTGACGAGATGAGCGACGTGATCGGAGGCTACGAGACATCAGAGGGCGGCAGCGGGGGCAGTGGCTACATGGGCAGTCTGCTCAACTCGATGAGTCTGATGCTGGAGGAGTTCTACGCCCATCTCAGCTTCGTTCCCGTCAGCTCTCGTCTCGGCACGGGTATGGACGAGTTCTTCGCGGCTGTGGAAGAGAAGGCGGAGGAGTTCAAGCAGGACTACCTCCCGGAGCTGCAGCGTAGGCGAAATGAGCGGGAAGAGAAGAAGCGCCAGGCCCGTGAGCACGAGCTGGACAAGATGATGAAGGGCATGTCGGTGGATGCGGGCAAGAAGCCCATGGTCATCAAGCCCGTTGAAGACGACGATGGCATCGATGTTGCCAGCGACGTCGATGACGACGATATGCCGGATGACGAGGACGACCGGGAAGGACTCCAGGCTCGTTACGAGGCGGCCATGGAGGCCGAAGGCGATTCCATCATGGCTGATGGCAGTTTCGCCAAGTACCTGCACACGCGGCAGACGTGATGGGACGGTGGGAACGGAACACATTCATGCGCATAGGACGAAGCTTGGGCAGGAAGACGGCGTTTTAGACGGTTGCTGCATTATCATGAGATACCTCGAAAAGGAAGAACAGGTGCAGAAAGTTGCCTTGCTCTATGAATTGATTTTGACTCCCCTAATCCCATAACTCCTGCAGACCTCGGCGTCCACGGTATGTCCGGCTCTCATCACGGCGGATAAAGTGCGCTCGTGCTCTCGGACATCCATCCCTCTTAGGCATATCTCTAGCGAAACACTGGTTCTTCACAAGCGACCAGCTAGGCCACGGCACGATGTATCTCATCCGGTATCAATCCTCGAATCTGCGCAAAAACTCCAACATCCCGGCCTCTCCCCTCCCGTCCGGTGCTCTTTCATCCTCGCACTGCGTGTAAATCAAAGAAGAACGCCCGGTTGGGCGTCATCATCTCGCCTCGAACTGAACCATTCTGCCAAAAGAGTCAGCACGCCTGCTCGCCCCTAAAGCCTCAGAAGGGCGAAGAAGACTCACCTCTTGGTACGCTCCTTGTAAAGGATACGGCAACCGCACTCCTTGCAGCGGATGGGGTCGGCGCGACGCAGCTGGAACTTGAGGCCGCAGTCACCGCAGAGGTACTGCATCTGAGGGCCCTCAGCGCCATAGGATGAGTAGGCGGCCGCGCTGGGGGCGGAGGTCGCGCCGGCTGTGGGGACTTGGTAGGCTTCGCGAGACATATTTTTTTATTTATTTCTTTACTCTTTTCCCGTTTTTCCGAGAGGTGATGTTTCCTTGAAAGAAAGCGGAGGTCAATTCGGGGGGTGAGGCGGCGATTTTCTTCTTTCGCGGCGGGCGGGATTGGAAATGCAGAGGTGGGCTGGATGACAATTTGTTAAGCGGTGAGGGCGCGTAGGGGTGGCAGAAAAAAAAGGTTGCCTCGGGGGGCGTTGTGGTCGGTCCACTGGCGCCCGGAGATCGGGTATGGGGGGTGCATGGCAAGGCATGGAACCTCCGGCGTGGCCCACTTCCCGAGGTTACCACTGGTTAATTATCCGTACTGCCGCCCACCTCGGTAGAAACGAGTCTTGAGCGCGCGGCACGCTCTCCTCTTCGTATCATCTTTCTCCATGAATCTACCACTCTGTTGACTTCTTGCCAGGTTCTGATTCGCAAGCGACGATACGGCAATGCATTATAGCCGACAAACCCAGCACTGTCGATAACGCTCGATTCCTGCTTCGATCATCGACTAGGTACAACGAATACCACCACCACAGCAACACTCACCAGCCCACCATGACGCCCACCTCCGAGTTTGACGCCGGTGTAGAGCCTTCTGAATTGGAGTGCCCCTTCTGTATGATCGCAACCGAATACCCGCCTTATGACCCTGTGCAGCCGCCTCAGGACGACGCAGTCCTCGACCCCAACCGTCTTCCGACGCCCGCCTACGTCGTCCTCTCGACCCCGACTCTCGTCGCCTTCCTCGACATCCTTCCGCTGTCGCGCGGCCACCTCCTCCTCTGCCCGCGCACCCACCGCCCGAAGCTTACCGATGCCTCGTCCGACGAGTCGGCCGAGTTGGGCCGCTACCTGCGCGTTCTCTCCAGCGCCCTCGTGCGCACCACGGGTGTCGAGGACTGGAACGTGGTGCAGAACAACGGCGCCGCCGCCGCCCAGGTCGTCATGCACATGCACTTCCACCTAATCCCCCGCCCCGAGATCCGCGCGAGCGGCCGCTACAGCGAGAGCTTCACCATGTTTGGCCGCGGCCGCAGAGAGGAGCTGGACGACGAGGACGCCGAGCACTTTGCCAAAGAGCTGCGGGAGAACGTGGCCGACATCTTGAGGGAAGATAAGCACAAGTCCAAGCTTTGAATGTGGGCCTCTTTTTTTTTATTTAAACAGCGTTTATTCATTTCGTGTATAGATGGACCTTGGGGTCCGAGCTGCCGTATACCGCAGTACAATTTGTTCGCCGTAGCGCTGCCTTTTACTCTTGTTTTGCTCATTATGTGAGTCTCACTACTCACCACGGCCGCCATCATCACCGCTTCTACCTTCTCTTCCGCATTTACTCATCATCACCGAAGAAGACCTTGACACCATCGGGAAGAAAGGTGCCATCGCAGACCTTGAAGCGGTCGGGGATGGCTGAGACCTTCTTGAACTCCTCATCGGTCAGGGACCAACCGTCGAGGTCGAAGTTGGCCTTGATGCGGCCCTCGGAGACGGATTTGGGGATGACGCTGACGTCTCTGGCGAGGCCCCACTGGAGGAGAACCTGCTGGGGGGTGCGGCCCTTGGCCTTTGCGAGGTCAAGGAGGGTCTGGTTGGTGTAGAGGGGGGAGTCGGTGCTGCCGAGGCACGAGTAGGCTGTGGCGTGGATGCCCTTGGACTTGCAGTAGTCAAGGAGCTTGGGCGAGGGGTTGCAAGGGTGAAGCTCGATCTGGTTCACGGCGGGGACGATCTGGGATTCTGTCAGTGCCATTTTCTCGCGTGGACAACGGGAACGGGCCGAGAGTCCATCTCACCTTGGTCTGTGGGTCGTTGAGGAGGCGCTCGAGGTGGGTGATGCCAAAGTTGGAGACACCAATGTTTTTGACCTTGCCGGTACCAACGAGCTTCTGCAGCTCGCGCCAGGTGTCGAGGTAGTCCCAGTCGGGGTAGTGCTTCTTCAGGTCATCGGGGTCGGTGCTGGAGGGCCAGTGCATAAGGTAGAGGTCGACGTAGTCGGTCTGGAGGTTCTCGAGGGATTTGGTGATAGCCTCGGGAACGCGCTTGTGCCAGGGGTTGTCGAGCTTGGTTGTCAGCCAGATGTCCTCGCGGGGGACGCCGGAGGCCTTGATGCCGTCGCCGACCTCCTTCTCATTGCCGTAGGCGAAGGCAGTGTCGATGTGACGGTAGCCGTTCTTCAGGGCGGCCTCAACGGCGAGCTTGACCTGGTTCGGCTGGGACTGCCAGGTACCCAGGCCGATGGCGGGGATCTTGTCACCCGTGTTGAGGGTAAAGGTACGTGTGGTCTGCTTAACGTCGGCCATGGTTGGGGGGTTTGCGTGCGCGTGTCTATACTGAACGAAGACTGGCCGGGGTATCGTAGAGAGAAAGAGGAGCAAAAGTCAAAATAGAAATAGAAAGAGAAGAGTAATGTGGAATTATCAGGATGCACCTGAGCGGACGGGGAGAACTCTTTTGTATGCGCGGGGGGACGGGAGCCAAGAAAGCGAAGGGGCAGCAACATTCAGGAGGAGGGAGGGGGGAAGGGGACCAAGAGGCGAGAACTGTGCTCGGCATCTATTCCTCCTCATCCCGTGTGTCCTTGATCCGATCTCTACCTGCCTTACGTTGATTACTACCTATCTACCTACCTGATAGCGTACGTTAGCTACTAGGTGGATACCCACGTGGTATTACGTCTGCGGGAGATAAAGTCCCCCTATGAACCTTCCCTCCTCCCCCTTGGGCCCTTGGATGCTCCGAATGCGCAAGTACCACTGTGGAGGCGACAATGAGCGGGAAGAGATAGAGAGGAAGGTCCAATCCATGGAGTTTGTCGCGCAGGCCAACCACCTCGCTCCAAAAAAGAAAGGAACCCTAAGCGATCCCCGCACCAATATTGCCCCTCCCCCCACCTTTTGTGTGACGCAGTTCAATGCCCCGGGAACCTTCCGGCCGGCCTTCTTTGCGCGTTTGATGCGCCTCCTATTGGCTCCGAGCTTTTGGTCGCTTTCCTTTGGTCGGAACAAAGGTAGTGGTCTATCTTTGTGTCCAGTCGTGCGCCGCTATCCCCGAGAGAGCAATTCCAGCAGTTGCGTTTCTCATCATTACACTACCGGTTTACGCAGCCAGCCCACTCTGACCAGGACTCCTGCGTCTGCATTTTGTCGACTCGGACGGCTGGGAGCCAGGGAGTGTATGGGTAAGCAGAGAGCAGTTCAATGAGGGGCGTTATTGCGCTTGTTGTTTGTGGCTTTCTCTGCGCGTAAAAAGGCCTAGTCCCAGGCTTGATCTTGCTCAGTCTTCCTTGATGCGCTTGATTGGCAGCGCTTGTCGTCCGTCCCAGCCCGCGTCGTTGAAACGGGCCAATGTGCCCCGACGCGCGACTAACAGGATGTCATAGGCCCCACATTGCCACTCTTAGGTCTTGCGTCCACCGGGCCCCTGCTAATTGCTTCTCCTTCTTCGAGGGAAAGAAAGCTTTCCAGAAACCAGTCAAGAGGATACAGAACACGCTGGTTACTAAAGAACACACCAGGAAAGTTAGTGGATGTATCTCTTTCATCTGCGCTACCTGTCTGCAATGATTGACCTTTTCTTGTCATCGTGGTTCTGTCCTTCATAATTTGTTGGAGACCTGCAGCCACGACAGTACCAAACTGACATTTGGCAAATCATCTGAAGCCTGGACCTTTGAGTCGTTCCTAAGTAATTCAAGACGTTCACAGAGCTATTCACACTCAACGAATACCACTTGGGAGTCTGTCGCAAAGGTTATCGCCAAGCTAGAGTTTCTTCGTACACAGCTACGATCTGATGAGACGCAACGGGAGAATGAGATTCAATTGCTCTCTTATGGTACGTCTTCTCCTACTAGGAATGGGTAGGAGATTCGATATGACTTGAGCCTAGTGATACTCATTCAAGGCTACCATCACCATGGCCCAGTGAACGTTAAGACGGTTGTGAGACGTCTGAGAGACTGATTAGATAAAATAAATGAGATGTCGTCGACAAAAGCGCCTCAAAGTCGCATTAGACCCCCACAACTCGGACTGGCCACATTAAGTCGGCTCGTTTTCTCGGCTATTCTGCGTATACCGCTATACTGGCCAATAGTGGCGTGATGGTCGAAGAGGCCTGGTCCTGTGGGAGGACTGACCGTGGGGACGTCTCGAACTTTACACACGGGGGCCCCGTTCGCGTCTTTTGGTACCTTTTTCTGGGTCTCTTGATACATTGCTCGCCATCTACACTTTGCGGGATTTGGAGCTGAAGATGCTCTCTGGCCGAACACTAAACGTGAGCCCCGAAGTCCTGTGTAAGAGAGACACCAGTGTACTATTTGAGAACATCAGATCTTGTCGGCTGCCACTGTGCTCTAGAAGTTGTATCCGTAGACAAACCCCTGTAAGAGACGGGTCTGCCGGGCCCCATGTGGCATGTGTGGCGATACAAATGCCACTGGTGTTGGGCACCGCCCCAACCAGCTATCACTGGATGCACACATCCACCAATTCCCCGATAGTCTAGTGGTGAGGATATCTGCTTGTCATTTTCAAGATTCGCAGGGGACCGGGGTTCAATTCCCCGTCGAGGAGTTATCATCAGCCATTCTGTGGCCGAAAAGTTCTTTTTACCGCCTTGTATTCGTACCTCGGCTGGATATGACCCCCAATCGGCCGTTGGGAGCTTACAATTGGCATCGTCCAGAAGCTGTGGCCCCTGTCGTTTTGTCAACCGTCGGGTTCTGGTGAACTCTGCTACACATTGTTGAGTTCGTTGGGATAAGATGATACGGGTATTCCGCAACCGCGACTTACCAGAGCCGCAGCCCTCTTTAGTTGGAAGGCTGCATTAAGCTTTCCTCGTCGAGACTATTGGTGTGTTTGAAACCAATACAGCTTCAGACAAGATGGCCATTACAGAAAGTCTTTGTAAAGTGTACGTTTGCCGGGTCACGGAGGGACGAAGGACTTAGCAAATAGTCATGGTACAGGGCTACCGGCAGCCGGTAAGGAGGGCGTTGATCTGCTGATTTATGGTTAACCGAACCGTCCGTGGCTGTTGTCTACAGTCTGTTGCGTTGGCAGCGTCCAGTTCTAGCCAATCAGAGGTCAGAAGTGGAGAATATTATCGGCCTTTGATTGGCTTGGATGCTGCCAGCGCAACTGTTGCATTAACAGCGTCCAAAACCCTCGCGTTGCGTTAGCAGCTTCCAAAACCTATATCTCCATCAAAAAACATCTAAACAAGTGAAATATTAGTGTGTATGTACTTTTATATATAAAGAACTTTTAAAGATTTATTTTAGAATTAATAAGGTAGAGGTGGTATAGATATTTGAGAGGGAATCTGGGTGCACGGACGTTTTTAGGTTTTGGACGCTGCCAACGCAACGGACTGTAGCATGGCGGACACACCATACCCCAAACTACGATCAACCCTCTGGAAAAGCGGCAGTCTAATGCTCAGGCCACGCCCATGCAACCATTCGCGTAGCGAAAAGTGCCCGATCGATTGATCCTGCTTAACAGGCCAACAACCGCCGTGGCTCTTTGGAATTTTTGGCACTGCAACTACAGTATGAAACAGTCGACGGCGACGTCTGCAGCGTCTATCGAGTCTTGGTACCTCCTCGTATGACAAAGGGTGGGCCGCCTGCGAGGGCCTTTGCCCTAGATCAACACTTGGCTCGCGTTTTCCCCGTAGACTACGATTGATGCTATGGGCATGCGACTGGTCTCACAACGGGTCGAGATAAGTGAGCGAGTGGCTCAAGGCTTCCAAAGCAGATGTCATACTACCGCTTGCCTTGTAAAGTTACACAAGACACGGGCTTACTACGGTAAGTATAAGGGCAGGTATGAGCGATCCATATCAAAGTACAAATGACATTTTCAAGATGTTTGAAGTCCGCCCCTACAATGAGTTAACGTATAGTCTTGAAGGTCTATGGTGGTTATCAGAAGCTGTTTCTGAGATTCCATGTGGGTTTTGTAAGTGACTGGAATGAGTCTAGGGGCCGGCAGCAAACTCTCACGGACACACATTGAGGTTTCCAAATCCTCTAACGACAAGTTGAGTGTGATTATGTGTTTTCCTACACTCGCAAAATGTGATCCCGTTATGGCGGGCGAGAGCCAAGTAGGGTATACTTTAACCGTTGTAAATGCATGGCAACCCGGCGCGATGGAACGTCAACCGCTGGCTCGACATTTGGGCTTACGCATATTGAAGCTCCTCAATGTCATCAGAATAGCATACTTGCGTCTGACTTTGGACCAGCCAAGGGTTTCATTGTACTGACAGAAAAAATGCGTAGTCCCCAACTTGACCACAATAGCGCCCGGGACAAATGCCTCCGGTTGGTTCACTCTTGGTAGCCGGCTGGGAGTGTTCACCAAAGTAGCTTGAGGACGTTCTCAAGCAGGCCGTCGCATACTCTCGCGGAAGGGCCCAAGGGGCCATGCTGCTCAGGCGCCATCACAGACGCGCCTTTCCGCACAATGACTTCGGCCCTCGGAACGGCCTCGAAAAACAACACATCTGAGCACTTCAAGGTCCAGTCATTGACAGAAACAAACAGAAACCGCATGGTAGAACCGTCGCTCTTCGGCGTTGATGGCCTGACCGCTGTTGGGCAGCTGACCAGACAGTCGAATGTTGAACAAACCATGGTCGACGACGGTGCTGGCTAGGTCTTTCCCAGCGATGCAGAGAATTGAAAGAACAATCTCGAGGCAAACAAGAAAAAGAAGGGGTGGGAGGGAAGGGGGGGGGGGTGTTACGGGCAATTCGCGCACCACCGTCGCCGAAGCAGAGCGCCCGCCGGCCGAGTCCTCCGAAACACGGGCCCCGTTCCTTCCATCGCGAGCGGGTCCACCAGCCGACACTCTCAACGACCGGACTCCGGGCCCCAGATCATGAACGTCTGGTCCCTTTATGCCTTACCCATTCCTGACCCCCCGTCTGGCCCCCAAGTTCCCCGGTACCAGCCCTTCTCTCTCACTTCCATTCAACGATCTCCCTTAGGCGGTGCCTAACCAGCAATGGGAGGGGGCGGCCTCGACTTTCTGCGGCCAGGAGACCATCTCGCTCGGCAATCGACCAACCAGCAAGAGCGGTTACTTTGATTGGTAAGGTGATTGGTCGAATATTAATAAGCTATTGGACGGAGTAGCTGCAGACGAAAATGAGAGGGGAAAAAAAGAAGAGAAAAGGGGGGAGGGGGAACACAGGCGCACTATGTCAGGCAATTGCGTGGGTGCAGATCGACGCCCGACGAGTGCTTGAAGAGGTACATGTAGATGCTCACTCCCATTCATCAACGCTCCTGCTCGCACCGCTTTCCCCGAGTCTGTTCTACCCCCCCGCCAGTCCCGAAGATGACGAAACGGACCATATCCGTGCACAACGATCGAGATGGACTCCGTGTGCTTGCGACAGCGGCTGTCGCATACCGCCCGCCGTCCAACAGCCTTCGCCCTGCTTGTCCGACGGAAAAGGAAAAAATTAAGAAATTGCATAGGAAACATTCATTGAGATGGATATACGAAGTCGGATCATCACCAAAGTGGGATGCGAGACGGAATGTGTTGGATGGCAGAATACTCATCTCGTCATCTATTCTACGAGTTGACGATGAATGAAGGCGTCACAACACTGAACTGATGTCGGCGAGATACAAAAGACAAAGACGATTTCTAGTAAAAGAGGAAGACGAAAGAGAGGCGCGCTCACTCGGCATCGCCGCCAGCAGCAACGGCCTTGGGGGCGTCGCCGTTGGTGGCGGCGGGTGCGTCGACGGCCTTGACATCGCCCTTGGCGGGGGCATCCTCGACGCCGTTGGCAGTCTCCTCCTCATCGGCCTCGGCCTCCTCCTCTTCGCCGGCGGCCTCTTCGGCTTCCTCTTCCTCTTCGGCAGCCTCCTCGGCGTCGGCCGCGTCATCCGTGGCCTCTGTCTCGGTCTTCCGCTTCTTCGATGGAGGAGCTTTGTCTGTAGTGACGACACGTTAGCTTGGCCTTCAAGCAAGTTCGAAAGCGTCTGCGCCATCAGAAGAAAAACTGCGGCACCATACGTACCATTTACGCCGTTTGCTTCAGCATCTTCCTCGGCGTCGCCCTCCTCCTCTTCTTCTTCCTCCTCCTCCTCTTCCACATCGTCATCACCCTCCTCTGCGTCTTCCTCAGACTCGTACCTAGAGCGCAAGTCATGTCAGAACCGGTCTCTTTAGGTAGGACAACGGGGAGCTCTCCATCAGGAGCCATGGCCACTGGTACCCGTTATAAACCGGGCGCATAGCCGCGACGGCATCAGGACACCAGGTGTAACTGAAGCATGGACGCGCAAACGAGCTGAGAGTATCGAGGAGCATGACTTTATACTCCCTTCTCTCCAAGGGACTTGGGCGCGAAGCAAAGGTCGGGGGGGGGACTTACTCCTCTTCCTCTTCGCCGTCGTCGTCGGGAAGGGAAACAAGCTCCTCCTCCTCCTCTTGCTTTCTCTTGCGGGTGGACATGTTATAAGAGGGTCTCGGTGGGTTCAATTGGGTAGAACAAGGCGTTTTGAAAAGGGGTTTTCAGTAGAAAACTTGCAGGAGATGGAAGGGAAAGAGAGAGAGATGTAGGAGAAGCAGAAAGAAAAAGAGAAAGTTGGGGGGCGGCCAGAACGAAAGGTAGGTAGGCCGGCGCAAGGAAAGCTCGGGGGGAAGGACGGGGCCAGCCTAGAGGTGGGTGGGTGCGTGTCGATTGGTGGTACCTCTCTACACAGTAGATGCGCAATGGGTGGGCGAAGAAGAGTAAGAGGAGAAGGGAGTGCGCGTCGGTGGTGCGGTGCGGTGCGGTGCGGTGCGCAGGCAGAGCGAGAGGGAGAGGGCGGGAGAGAGAGGGGGTGGGAGGTGGTGGTGGAGGAGGAGGAGGAGGAGGGAGCTCCCTCTCAGCTGTGTGGTGTGCGCTCTGCCATACCGTTTGCGAGGGAACGTGTGCGAGGCAGATCCAAAGCCAGAGCCACGGCCAGGCGAGATAGAGCCAGAGCCAGAGCCAAAGGAGCAAGTATCGGACCAGGCTCTGAAGCTGGCCCGGGGACAAGAACTGGGCGAGGAGGGACCACCAAGATGGCAGAGGGTGGCTGGGGGGGGAGAGCTTCGACTCGAATGACTGGGGGCTCCGGCGATTGGACTGAAGACGGGACGACAAGATGGGGGGAACACTGGGGGAGATGTGAAGTGTGAATGAGAAAGGAGGGGGCGTGAGCGCAAGAGTCGGGTTTGGTAGAAGATCCAAACAGGGATTCCAAGTTGTCTGCTTGATCGAAGGTCGTCCTTGGAATGTAGTTGGTCACCAAGCGAGAGAAAGCTCGGACCTCTCTGAGGAAGAGAGCAGCAGCAGCAGCAGCAGCAGCAGCAGCATCATCATCCCTGTTCGGAACTTTGCGTGCAGCAGCGCAGTAGCTCAGAATCCACACCAACACAAACAGCAGCAGCAGCAGCAGCAGCTCCAAGTTGGGAGAAAGACAAAGCTCCGATGCCTTGCCGCTGCTGGGCCTGGTCTGCCAAGTAAAGTGCCTCCCCTTCCCCAAGCCCCCCCCGTCCCTTCCAATTCGCTCCCAGTTGCTCTCTGTGACTGAAGCTAATGCCCCTGTGTGAACCAAGAGCTCTGAAGCTCTGGCGACCGAGCAGGAGCTGAGGGAGCCAATGGGAACCCTCCCCCACTAGCATTAACCCGCTCTGAACACACCCTTGGTGTGACGGAGAAAAACAGGATAACGGACTGGCTGCTGACGTGATCCTACTCGGAACGGGACGCCATGAGCGTCATCACGTGCGCTAAAGCTCTTCCGTCGCTTGTACGAATCGCGCTCGCCTTGGTGAGGTGCCTGAGGTATCTGACTGCACTGGCAGCTTTGTGTACCTCGGTAAGCTGGCCCTGTGCCGCTGACTGGACAACATATGCCCTTAGAGGCTGGAGCCAGCTTCGTTCATCGACAAACAGGGAAGTATGAAATGAGCCGAAACGAAACGAAACGAAACAAAACGAAAAGACGACGAAATAGCTCAAATTGATCAAGCAGAAAGAGTCAATACTAGGGAAGGACCCTAAGGAAGACGGAACATCAGCGGTTATCAACTAGGTAGTATCCGTACTTATGCAGTATATCTCCAGGTAGAGGGAAGTTGATTCGATATTCCATACAGCAAAAACAGAGGTATCGACGACGAGAAGCTCATCCAGCTGAACAGAGTTGGCTGGTGCGTAGGCAACGAGCAATGGAGTGACTCCACCTGCTTTTATTTAGAAAAAAAAAAGGAAACCCCCCCCCCCCCGGTGTGGCCGGGAATGATTCACGTCGGGAGTGAACGAGTAAGGCCACGCCATACCGCGTTTGACGCGACCGCGACAGCCCGTAAAGTGAAATATCCATCAGGACACAGAGTCGTTGGAAATTTGGCGGCAATCCTGACGGTGTTAGACATGCTGTCCATGTTTGGTGGAATCGTCGAGCGAAGACCCTGGCTATATGCTAACCGCTCGGGTTTGGTGACCGGGAGTACGAAGAAGAAACCATCTCTTTCTTGGTGGTTCATTGTTGTTGGGCTGCAAGTCTAGCTGCTTTGAAGTTTCTCCTCATAGCCGGCCCGCCTGAGGGAGAGTAAGACAACGCCGATCCAAAAGCCGGAAAAGGCTGACATGTTGATGGTAAGAAGCAAGGGAAAGACAAGCATAAGAGAGAAGAATAACGCCTGGGGCCGGGACAGGCCGAAAGATAAAGATATGTGCTTCCTTCTGCCGTTCTGTGCTCCCCGCGTCATCCAGACAACCAGGGCTCGCTCCCGAACTTGGTGTTGATTGGCCTAGCGTGAAGTCATACCGAGAGGCAGTCTACTCCAACCTTGGTTGGCACAGCCGTGACACAGAGGGGGAAGGGGGATATGGAGGCTAGACTTGTCCATCGGACGAATCACCAAAAGAGCATGCTGGCGGAGAGCGTCGATGATGCCGAGTTAACTGTGGGTTCTAGGCGAAGAAATAGCAAGTTCTGGTCAAGTTATCGTCTAGGATCATCTGCCGACCCATACAGTTGCGTTCGTAGCTGGGCAAACGAGCGATATTTGGGCGGACGCAACAAAAATGTTGAAAGCGGGCGACGGGTTACACGTTATGAATGCCTTTCCGCAAATATTGTACTGGGGTCCATCATCGAGATCTGCCGGTCGGTCGTAACGACTGGCGAGGAAGACGGGATGATGCATGTCCGCTGGCCTCGATTTGCACGACAACTATCTAATTGGTATCCGCCAAATCATGTTGGCCTCTCCGGCCTCGTATCTCGGACTTCTTTGCTTGGAAGTGTTGCGTCAGGAAAAGTCGTACGATTCCCCCTTGGGACGCGAAGTCAGTAAGAAGGGCCATCGTTGGCAGAAGAGGCGCAAATTCGAGACTGGCGGAGGACGATCCCCGCAGCCAGCCGTCGAAAGCAAACGGACTCAGAGAGAAACAGAGCATCGGAATAAGGTCATGGGAAAGATTCATAAGAAACAACAGCAACAACAAAAAAGAAAAGAGAGACAAAAAGAAAAAAGGCGGAGAAAAGAAAGCAAATCACAGGGTGCTCTGGTCGACAGCGGGAACTGGCGTAAAATGTGTTTTCTCCCTTGAAAAGAGTAAAATCGACCGGCGGGACTGATTGGGAAGAAAGAAAATGACAACAGCGGTTCTTGAAAAAGGGAGTTTCGGTCAGTCAGGATCGGAACCGGCCCCCCGATCCGGGAAATTGAAAGGTCATTGGGCAGTGGAGGAGGAGGGCTCTTTCGGGAATAGCTTCAGGCACCAGGGGCATCGTGTATACTGCTGAGTAGGTAGCTGACCATCCGTACCAGGTGCTGGGCTCTGCCCTCCCTCCCCCTGAAGCTGTCCCAGTGGGAAGGGCCGCCAGCCAGGAGGTCGTGGAGGCTTTGCTGCGAGTATCCCTGCAGGCTGCGGTGCCGGCCCATCCTCCCCTGCAAGTGGCTGCGTTTGACGTTGGGACGACGTGGTTGGGGGCTACAGCCTACGGAGTATCCGTACAGGCCTATCATACCTAGGTCTTGTCTGCTCTGCCATGCTCTCTGTCTGCCATGTTTCTGACCTCGAGACTCTTGGAAGTTGCTGTATGTCGAGTGTACTAAGGAGGTCCGTGACCCGAATCCCCTGTTTTCGCAGCTCCAATGCGTCGACGGCTGACGAACGCATCAATCATGATCTGCGGAGGTCGCCGGCTGTTCCGCTTCCTGCTCTTGTCCCGCCGAGTCTTTCCCGTGCCACGCAGCCAACCAACTTGCAGTCGTACTCGTCAGTCATGTTCTAGTACATGAGGGGTTATCGGTGGGCGTCCCAGATGCCCATACCCATGCTGTGCCTAGGCAAGGAGAGATGCTTTATAGTATAGGTAGTATAAGAGGTACCTACCTAGGTAGGCAGACTAGTAAGTAATACTATGTATCCGTAATGTGCAGAGTATTACCGGTATTGGGCTTGGGTGCAAGGGAGGCGGGAAGCCCGCTGGAGGAAACATGTAATACGTAGTAGTAGTAGTAGTAGTATGGATACATGTAGGTACCTGGAAAAGGGTGCGAGATTGCGGGAGGGGCCAGGTACTCTACCGGGGATCATACATAGATAGGCCGAGTTGGTGGAATTTGCTTCTCGAAGGAAGAAACGGGGGTATGGCCAGGAGGCGGTGGAGAACCGTGGATGTGGGGCCACCATCCGGGATAGGATACACGAGCTGACCAACTCGGCCGGACTGGATAATTGATGAGCGCCTGCGGGGAAGGATAGCACCACGGTCCATTGCAGCAGTTGTGCGAAATTGAATGACGCTCTGGACGGAGCGGAGCCGACTCGAATTGACAAGTTTTCTGTTTTATTCTGCTTTCTGTCGTAGTCTGTCAGTGCGTGTGAAAAGCGACGAAGCCGAGGGGGAAAAAAAAAGAGATGGAGGATGGATAATACTGACTCTCGACTCTTGCCGTTTTAATCAATCCATCGCCGCGTCTTCCTTTTCGACATGGGTTCAGGTTGGTGGTCTCATCGGCTTTGGTCTTAGTTTTGGGGCCATTGGATCCGTCCAGTGTTACCCTCCGGAGTGGGTGAACAAGCCGAAGTCAGGACGGACTGCGTTCCTCGTCTTCATAAATACTATGTAAATAACCATGGCGATTTGCGTTTGAAATGCGGATACCCAGCCATATAACCCCCAAGGTATCGGTATATTCGTTCATTCGTACCATCGGTGACCGCTTTGTCGCCTGTTGGCCCGTCCGCCTCACTCACATACATAACATAACATAGTCTTGGGGCAAATCTCGAATCTCGGGATATTGGATTTCCATCTCTGTACCGCCACGTCAGGAGAGAAGGGCAAGCGAGAAGAGCAAGGGGACGGCAGAGGACGATCGAACTGTGTCCAATCTCCTCATCTTAGCCACTCGTCGCTCTCGCCCTCGTCCTTGACCTTTATCTTCGTCTTTGTCTTGTCCTC